CCAACCCTTCTCTTCCCAGCCCTTTCTGCAGGATCCCCAAAGGCGGTCCTAACAGGACGTGGGGCAGGACCCCCCCGTCTCCCCATACCTACCCCTCTCGCTGGCGTCGTCCACCAGGATGATTTCCGAAAGCAGGCGGTGCGGCGAGCGATTGATAACGCTGTACACGGTCCGAAGTAGAGTACTCCAGGCTTCGTTGTGAAACACAATGACTACGCTTGTGTTGGGCAGTCTGTCTGGGTAGACTTTTGTCTTGCACCTGCCAAGAAATACAAGGAAAAAAAAACAAACACAGAAGGAAAGGGGGGGTTAAAGTTTAAGAAAAACCTAAAGAGTTCTACCAATGGGAGAACCTGGAAAAGTGGCTTGAAGCCTGCTGAGTAGGATACATTTCAAAGCTGTTACTGATCTCTTCAGGCTCCCAAGCCAGAAGCCCAAGGGCAGAGGGAATTTCAACTTCTCTTGCTAAGAAAACAGAGTAGAGTAACCAAGGAACATGCGCCGCTATGTTCACAGCTCCCTCGGACTCCATCTCCACTCGGTGCTTGGTATGCCAAGAAATCCGCATCCAGTAGCCCCAGCATCGATGCGGGGCAATTAATAGAACACGTATCAAGCAGTCACAGTTAGGTCAGATAAGTCTTTTACTGTGACAAATCCCAGATTCTACGGTTTGAAGTACACAGCCATCTGAGACCTTCCTGTCTTTGGTGGTCTCTCAAAAAGAAGAAAAAAATTACTATTTTCCAGAACATTCTATACGCCCATTCAATGGAAGAATGAGAGGTCAATAACTTCACCTGCTTTTGGATAATACAGAAGTTACGGCAAAGTCAGTGACAGATACCAAACATTGCTGGTTTTGCGGAAGCAAATTAAAGCTCTTTGCTTATTACAAAAGACAACCCAAAATTCTGCATATTTGTTCCAGATCTTGGACACACTTCAAAAATACAAACACGCCTACGTCAACCTGTCAACCCAGGTCAAGTCACATCACTTAAACACCCCCAATACGGGTTCTTAACCATTGTCACTTAAAATAATTTGCACTACTTTTTGTTATTTTACATTTGTAGGATGTTCAGGCTCTACTGTTCCCCCTGTGGCCCCGGCTCAGGAAAGCCCTTCCAGAAGGGACGGGCGAGCTCTTCACCAGTGGCACACAGACATACACGCTAGTGAATTAAACTGTAGGCAAAGCGAGAAGAAATTACATATAGCTTTTTAGCACATCTTCTTTGTAATACCACAAACTTGAAGCTTCCCTAAAAAATCCTAAATTATTGAGTTATTCATAAGTGTTTACACACCCTGTGTTCTCTGCCTGTGACACAGGCTCAGCGTATCACTTTTGTCTGTGTTATTCGAAAAATCCACCCGTCCCAATGCAGCGCTTGATCAGGAGTAGCCTCCTCCTTACAGGAAACTTCTCTACCAAGGGCCAAGAGAATGAATGAATGAAGTCCCTGGAGAAAAGTCAGTTTGTCCATACAGTCTCCTTCTTAAACATCACTTATCATAACAAAACTCCCCTTAACATTTTCTTCTGCCTCACTGACATTTAACAAAAATAGATAAAACAACATCGTGACCACAGCTTTCAAAGTACGAGGTGATAAGAGAATACAGAAGAATATAGAGGATCACTGATTTCTATGGTACAGGTACAAGGCTCATGGTATGCGTGTGTGTGTGTACACACACAATGACCTATATATATAGGTCATTGGTCACTAGAGCTGATGACAAAGTCCAGTGCTAACATATACATATATAAAAATATACATACACACACACATACATAGGCACGCACCAGTCTTGACATCATTTTGATGATGACCATTGAAGTTTGCTGGTAGCCATCCCACTGTCTTTTTTTGCAGGGTAATTAATGATACAACTACCCATCAATTCTGACTTAGATTCAGAGTTCAGACAAAGAAATAAACATCCTTTACTAATCACCACCCACAATGACACCCCCTTTACCCAGCAGTGTGTCTAAAGAGGCATGCGCCCAGCAGGACGGTATGTCCAAAAAAGGACATTTTGATTTTATTTGTTTCCAAGGCACAGTAAAAGTTTTCCCCACACACATAATTGCCCTTGGAAGGCATCTCGTGTCAACCCTGGCATCTGAAAGTCAGACATCAAAGACTGAAAAAACCCAGACAGGCCGTAGTACGAAGCTCAGTGCTGTTTTCGTTCAGAGTGGTTTTCCAGAGCTTAACATCCTACACAGCTGGAATAAATTCTGCTTCTCCCCTACTTCACAACAGTCATTTTCATTACATGTAAAACAGATAAACTTTTGGAAATTGGAAAAGAAATAGTACACAAGATTATGTTTTAAAATATTCAAAAATGCACATCAGTAGTGAAATGAGACAAGAAGAAAAGGGTCTTTCCTTGTCTGCAGTTTAACACTGATCCTGTAGTGCAAATGGAATAGGAAGAGAATGTTTATCATCGTGTAGTATTTGCCAGGATCTTCAGGATTTTCACCGTCACTCTCATTATTCTCCAAGGTATCTTATGGTACCCAGACAAGCTGAGGACACACATGAAGAGGTCGTGTGTCCCATGCTTTGCAGCAGACAGACAAATCTAAAGGATCATAAATCTGGTCATGAAAATCCACGAACAGCATCATTACTGTATGTCCTTCCTCAAACTTTTCACAATGTCCCGACATCAGATACTGTACCCCAAACGAGGAATCCTTCTCTTTTTATCACATTTGTCTCTGTCTGGACCCAGAGACTCTGCTGCACATCTCTCCTTAGTTTCACAGACAATTACATGGTGGGCTTATCCTCTGGGGAGCAGGATTATTCAATTCTGAATCACTTCACTCGGTAGGTCTGCTACGTAGAGTTCCCCAGGTGTGCCAAGCGATGTATGGGGATTTGCTGACACCGCATCTGCTCATCAGAGACTAAATCAAATCTATTCACTTTGTCTAATTTGGGTCACTTGATTTTAATGGAAAATGTAAATGCTGGTAGTTTGTCTATATTATAGCATTAAACCATTGCGGAGCCACAGTTTATCAGAGGTTATTGCAGCCCTTAACCCACCAAGGGGAACGCTTAGTCCAGTCTGGATGGCAAGCTCTGCCCTGCGCTGACCTCCACAACACACAGAAAACCGGAGGGTCAGAAACATTGACAGGCACTCCAAGAGGAGCAGCTCCACAACAAACTGAACTTTTTTCTGCTTTCTGGAAGTTTCCAGAAACCCACTTGCACTAGTGGAGAGCTGCTTTGGCAGAACAGAGGCCGAGGGCAAGACATTAACTAGGTGTTGGCATCATGAACAGCAGGCACTCGCAATCCCAGCTCTGACACCAGTAATGAGACCTGCTGAGATTTTCAGATCTATTTTTGGGTTTAAACAAAAACTGTATTATTATTATCATTCGTGTTTTCGCTGTCATACAGGTACAAGTTTTTGAGGTCCCTCTAAAGCCATGAGCACAACATAGATTACGACAACCTGAGTTATTTGGGCAATACGCTGCTTAGGGCCACTTTGGCTGCAGGAGAAACACAGCGTGTCACGGGACAGCAATACGTTAACCTCGCCTTAAAGATCAGTAACATCTCAGGGCAGAAGCTCAAGGCTATTTCATGTTGCATTACATTTTCATTCTTACAGAGTACTCCTTCCTCCCTCCCTTGGAAAGTTTTCACCACAGGAAGATAGTGACTTAAGGAGCACGATTCAAAAAAGCAGCTGCTCTGGAGCTGGCAAACCCTGCACAGACAAGAAGTCATCAGAGGTTGTTAATTGATGAGCGTGTGTGTAACACGGCTGACTCCTGCACTGGTCATTGGGATGACTCGAGCCCAGAACCATCAGTCCCACAGTGAAAACACTTATTGCTCAGATTAAACAAAAAACATCCTTAGCTTGTTGAGCCAACTGTTACAGACCTAACACCAGAGAGCTGCCGCTTTATTTCCTACCGATGAGGCACAGCGCTCCATTTACACACTTAGACACAGGTGGCTGTCCGGGATCCCATCTCAGCATTTCCTCACAAACAAGAGCAGCACCACGCCACGGGGACCCGCCACGGCCAGCTCCGTAGAGAAGGATGGTGGAGATGAAGTAAGGAGGCCAGCAGAGAGACCGAAATACCGACTGGCGTGAGGCTGAGCCTGCTCTGGGTGGGAAGGGCATGCCTTCACCAACATGTCTTTGTTCTCTGGCGGAAGCAAGACATTGATCAGTTTTCGCTACATTCAAAGCAATTTTCATGAGCATTTGATTCACTTTAAAAGTTAAACAACAAAGATCAGTAATAATACAACCATACAGTGGGTGTATAAATCGCCATTCTTGATCTTAAAGTAACTCCCATTGCCATCGACAAGATGTGCAATGCAAAACAACCACAACCCGTACAAGTGTGATTAATTTGTACCCTGCCCTCCACCTTGCCCCTGGCTGCGTATCACAGAATGGTTTGGCTGGAAGGGACCTTAAAGACCATCTAGTTCCAACCACAGAAGTAGTACAGCCATGCTCTGGACCCGATGCTCCTTACACCTCTTTGAGGGCCGACCGACCGCCCTGCGATGCCCCAAGGCCAACCCTTGGCCAGTTGATCTGCGCGGTCAGGGAAGGAACGCAGCACACAGGAGGCCAGGGAGATGCCAGAGATGGTGCAAGAGCAGCGGGAGAAGGGCACGGCTGGGTGAGACCCGGCGTACCAAAACCTCCCCAATCCAGCCACACGTTGTGTGCCAACAGCCCCCACACTCCCCTCCTTTCCCCCCAACGACTGCAGCAACAAACTCACAGCTCTCTGCCACGGATCAGCCCTCGCATCCCCACTCCGCCCAAGAGTACCTACCCAGGGACCAGCCTCTGGGCTGAGTACCATGGTGGAGTGCATCCCAGGAGAGGGCTAACATCTCGGGGACTGGGGGTCTACAGTGCCCCGGGAAGGCTCCGTCATCACCAACTTCCCTTCTGCCCTGGCAGCACACCTCTATCGGAGTTTCAGCCCCAGACGGACTCTGCTCGCTTGAAAGCATTTGCAAGTCCACAAAAGATAAAAAATTTTCACGTCCCTTTACTGAAATGAAGACAGTGACTCATGCTGCATTTTTTCTACATCAAAAATACACCACGTTTATCACTTCTTCAGCACAAGTCATCTGCTACTCACAGACTACCAAACCCAAGAACTCCCTCTCCTTGTGCCGCCCCTGCACTATTTACAATGCATCCTGATTGTTCAAC